CCACGAATCCACCGCGTGCATCCACAAGGAAGGAGACGAGGAAACTGGGGAGTGTGGGAGAGGAAAGAACGAAATAATAACCTTGGAATCATTGACACCTAGCCTCTACGCGCCAAGTGTTTATTCGTGGCATAGGGAAAGACAATGGTTAGCCAAGGGTGCGAGCTTACCCGGCTTTTACAGGCTTACGAGCTGCCCGAACGTTCTCCACCTCGAAATCCCAGTCAGTAGTCGAGCTGGCAGGCGTGATGGCTGACATTTGCATTTGAGATCGGCGCTGCTGCACAGTGCTCTCAGCCTTTGGAGAAGGAAATAAAGATAGAAAATATTTTGAGAGCACTTTTGGAAATATCAAGCGAACACTGTTTGGTAGAAATCTGCTTGACGTCTGATCTTCACTAATTGAGCAACCCCTTGACAGTTCGTTGTAAACGAGTGACAATTCTGCTGCAAGATCAGCATTGTGTACGATCTGAGTACCCGGGCTTACTCTCAATTAGTGTGACGGCAGATATGCGTGTGTGACCGCTACTTCAATAGGAACGACACTAAGGTCGTCGCTGTAGCCAGCTCAAAACAAACGATACAATTTATCGAGGCTTGGTACTCCAATGTGGTCAATATCAGTCGCCACGTTGACCCACCATTGCAATTACGAATGTCTGTGATCACAGCTCATAGGTGCCGAATCAACGACCGCCAATCCAACCGCCTACCGTCTGACTTCTCCGTCACTCTCCCCCCTCCGCCTTCACCACAGGAAGCTGTAACTCTCTCCCCCCTCCCTCCGAAACCTACTATTACTCTCTGCCCACCGGTCGCACACATTAGTCGTCTGTTCATGAACTCCCCTACGGCTCCTCCAGTCGCGTTTTGCCTTGTTCACTTCGACAAACGATGGGCAGGTGTTACGAACTTAAAATGCACGAGTACAACTTGCTTTTTTCAAAGGTCCTTCTCGTTTTTACCCGTTTTGAGCACGTATTACCTACATTGTACAATAAATGGGAACATTCGCATCATAATCAAAAGGTGTCATTAAACATAAATTAACTGTCGATATGCACTATTTTCCAGCCACCGTGGCGTAGTGGGTAGGGCCCTGTCTTGCTTGCTAGAGTGCCCGGGACCGAATCCCAGCCGTGACAATTTTTTCCTTGTTTACGTTTACCCATTTTTGTGCAAAGCAAAAATTACTGTCCACAACTTCTCAACCATCTCAGGCGACTTAGATCTATTAGAAGATGTGATAACGGTTGTTGGAGTAATAGCGACAATAATAGCAACCAAACCGTGAATAGTAAGAAGTGAATAAAAGTTTATATTTACTAATAAACCTACCACCGATTCTGTGGACATTCGGGTTCTATCGTCCAGCACGCTGTCCCTAGCACTGAGGCGCATCTTTGGTTCGCCTGCAAAGAAAAGTACATGTGGTAAAGGTCTCTGTTTTAAACATAAATTACTCCCACAATTATTGCACAACACAAACTGGGGACTACACAACTTCTGACGTAAGCTGAACACAATTCAGCTTCACATCTAACACACGTAAGGAAAGGTCTGCAGCAGCCTTTCCCCATATGAGAGACGCTGCCAGCCAGGCAAGATTGAATACCAAGCCGTCCAACCCCCACCCTGCGCTTGACGCAACATACAG